GCTCAGCCACCAGCCAGGAGGCTCAGCCACTAGCCAGGTTTAACCACCACCCAGGCTTAGTTACCATTCAGGCTCAGTCACCTGCCAGGCTCGGCCACAAGGTCACTCAACCACCCCACCATGTTGCCATGACACAGTCACACATCCATCCCGCCAACAAAATCACTTGACCCAAACCTAAATACACTATTAGTTGGATATAAACACCCCCTTTGGAGCAAGGATCATGCTTTTTTGCAAAGTGTGCTTGTATGAGAAGTTGCCCTCCCCCACCAGTGTAATGTAAGAGTGTGTTGCTTATAACAGAACTGTGATTGTGTGCTTATATCCAATTTCCACTGTATAGCCACAAAACAAGGCTGCCCAAATATGGTTAAGTCACATGTGGCCAATATCATCCAGATGATGAACTTAACATACTCGATCAACACACCAATTATGAGATTATATTTATTCATTTATGCATGTCACAAAACAATAATGTGTAAAGCATGATGGCAACAGAGGTAACTGATGGCACGGTGTTTAGATCGGGCATGTCCACACGATGAATGTAATGAATGCAGCGATATGAAGACGGTTACAAAATGTAAAAGGTTGATAGGCATGCACGTTACTTTAGGCACCATGCTGCTGGTTAACTCGCCGAGGCGTTCTGATGACACCGACGATGAGACGAGGTTTAATTTGCAGGACCCCTGCACCAGCAACTTGATTCCTCAACCATGCAGACCCTTCTCAGGCATGACCAAATTGTACACAATGAGCAGTGTCAACTGGTGTTGTTATTCTTCTTTACAGAGTAAACCCCTGAGAATCGAGAGCGTGGAAACGGGCACAATCACCACAAGCTAATTTGGCATCGAGCACGGAGTAGACATTTGTGGGATGCTTTGAATGTCACGTGTGACCAACGGTATCGAACGAGCAGTACCGACCGACTGCTGCTGCTGCTGTCGCTTGTTAACTTCTTGACTTGGTCAAAGTGTGAGGATTAATTCAGTCGTCATTGTCGTCATACATCATTCCTACATGAATCGCAAGAGGAGACCTATTCTAGGAAACACCACATTACTTGGGTTGCATGTCCATATGGGTAACTTAGAGATCGAAAAGTTCCATTATATATTTAGTCACTTAAAACAACCTGAGTAAAATTGCTCAATATGTAACAATGTAATTTAAATTACATTTTTGCTCGCAACAAAAGACAATGTTATGGTATCGTGCAAGTTATTAAACTAAAATATTTGTTTATTTGACCAGACAAGGCCCACTCAGCTATATAGCCCTTTTTCAGAAGCGAGCTGCCAAAAAATAATAGCTCAATATAGTGGCTCATCATGTGGAAATGTATAGCAGCCAAATAATCTCTACGCTTGTTTCTATATGTGGTGGGAAAAACCGGAGGACCCGGAGAAAATTCCACGCGACCATGGAGCGAACATGCAAACTCCAAATATACAGCGAGGGAAAAAAAGTATTTGATCCCCTGCTGATTTTGTACGTTTGCCCACTGACAAAGAAATGATCAGTCTATAATTTTAATGGTAGGTTTATTTGAACAATGAGAGACAGAATAACAACAAAAAAAATCCAGAAAAACGCATGTCAAAAATGTTATAAATTGATTTGCATTTTACCTGTATAAAAGACACCTGTCCACAGAAGCAATCAATCAGATTCCAAACTCTCTACCATGGCCAAGACCAAAGAGCTCTCTAAGGATGTCAGGGACAAGATTGTAGACCTACACAAGGCTGGAATGGGCTACAAGACCATTGCAAAGCAGCTTGGTGAGAAGGTGACAACAGTTGGTGCGATTATTCGCAAATAGAAGAAACACAAAATAACTGTCAATCTCCCTCGGCCTGGGGCTCCATGCAAGATCTCACCTCGTGGAGTTGCAATGATCATGAGAACGGTGAGGAATCAGCCCAGAACTACACGGGATCATAGTCCCGTGACCATAGTCACCAAGAAAACAATTGGTAACACACTACGCCGATGAGGACTGAAATCCTGCAGCGCCCACAAGGTCCCCCTACTCAAGAAAGCACATATACATGCCCGTCTGAAGTTTGCCAATGAACATCTGAATGTTTCAGAGGACAACTGGGTGAAAGTGTTGTGGTCAGATGAGACCAAAATGGAGCTATTTGGCATCAACTCAACTCGCCGTGTTTGGAGGAGGACTAATGCTGCTTATGACTCCAAGAACACCATCCCCACTGTCAAACATGGAGGTGGAAACATTATGCTTTGGGGGTGTTTTTCTGCTAAGGGGACAGGACAACTTCACCGCATCAAAGGGACGATGGACGGGGCCATGTACCGTCAAATCTTGGGTGAGAACCTCCTTCCCTCAGCCAGGGCATTGAAAATGGGTCGTGGATGGGTATTCCAGCATGACCATGACCCAAAACACACAGCCAAGGCAACAAAGGAGTGGTTCAAGAAGAAGCACATTAAGGTCCTGGAGTGGCCTAGCAAGTCTCCAGACCTTAATCCCATAGAAAATCTGTGGAGGGAGCTGAAGGTTCGAGTTGCCAAACGTCAGCCTCGAAAGAATAGTGGGACAAAATTCCTCCTGAGATGTGTGCAAACCTGGTGGCCAACAACAAGAAACGTCTGACCTCTGTGATTGCCAACAAGGGTTTTGCCACCAAGTACTAAGTCATGTTTTGCAGAGGGGTCAAATATTTATTTCCCTCATTAAAATGCAAATCAATTTATAACATTTTTGACATGCGTTTTCCTGGATTTTTGTTGTTGTTATTCTGTCTCTCACTATTCAAATAAACCTACTATTAAAAGTATAGACTGATCATTTCTTCGTCAGTGGGCAAACATACAAAATCAGCAGAGGATCAAATACTTTTTTCCCTCACTGTACAGGCGTCAGGGTCACGATCGAGCCCACGGCCTCCAGTATACCAGGCGAGGTGGTGAACATCTCGCCAACGTGGCGGTATCCCTGAATAAGGACGGCATTGCTTTTCTTGAAGCTCGTGCAAGTGAAAACAAAGCCATCCTGACACTGCCTTGCCATGAGCACAAAGAACTTTGCTCAAAAGTCAATGCATGGACGAAGGGTTCCCAGGCCTTCACCAGCCCTCACACTGTGGAGGCCACAAAATCCACGTAGAACCTGTGCACGAGCCGATGTAATCTCTCCGTCGCCACGGCAGAAGTTCCTCTCGGGCGAGTTTCCTCCTCTGGCTGCCACCCAAGCGTTAGTTTTAACCACCGTCCACCGTCCCTGCCAGGTGGGACATGTCCCTGCCCAAGCCCACTCACTTTCCTTCCCTCTCCATGCGAGTCTAACTTGCATTATGTTCTATAGACCACGGGTTCTCCTTCCTGTTTCTCAGTGCAATTCCAAGTGCAGGCAGTCCCCAGGTTATGGAAGGGTTAGGTTCCCGAGGAACGATCCGTAACCCGAATATTCCACATGTCGTGAACTGAACAATTTCCCCCCAAAATCAAGATAAAATCCCAAAGCCGGAAATAGTTGCGACTCTTATTCCCGATTACGAATTCGTTTTCTCTCAGTACTGATTCGTGCTGTCGTCCGTTTTCTATCGCTCCCTGTATCGCTGTACATACAATTTGCGTTTACGGTGATTCTTTATTTTCATCGAATATATACCCTAACACATACTGTATTCAATTGTTCATGAATACCACGAAACATTTTAATAATTGTTAACAGAAAGCAGTCACTTCCGAATGTTTGTTTACCGTGCATTACGCTAGGATTAGATTTCATACACACACAAAGACAAAGATCCCCCGTATAGCCTTCACAGACTGCTGGGACAAGTGCTGTTAGCGAGCACCTATGAAGGCCGGAACGGCACACGAGGGGGTGGGTGGACAGCACAACGCCTGGCCGCCTTTGTCTCCCCAGTGGCAATATTTTTACACATCACACCAGGTACTCATTTGAGGCTGAGTCGACCTTGGCGATTCCCAGGACCGGTTCATATTATTGTCACTGTGACCAGATTTGTAGCGCAGCGCACTAACCGCTACACCACCGCTCTGCCACACATACACACACACACATATACATGCACACAAAGTCAAAGGTGGAGTAGGCTTGTCTACACGCACACGCAGTACATACAGCAAATAACTCCTGAAATTAACTTAAAATGAAGAACATTAGCAATAGAAACATGGGGGGAAAAGATAGTTCTAAGCATAGAAAACAAACAATTAGGTAATGGTACAAATAATTACATGAAGCTACAAAACTTCCATTGACCTTAATCCTAGTGAAGCTTGGGCTCGGTGAAGGCGGCGTTTTGGTATTCATCCGCAACCTCACCGCGTTGCAGTATTTGCGCTTACGTAACTAACGCCACAATTTACGCATATCGATTTTTCTTAAACATGATTTATGGGAGCATTTCCATAAAATCGGTTTTCCATACATCGGATCTTCCACAACCCGGGGTCTCACTGTACTGCCTCACACCTCGCCGTGCCTCCTGACACCTCGCCGTGCCGCCTGACACCTCGCCGTGCCTCCTCACACCTCGCCGTGCCTCCTCACACCTCGCCGTGCCTCCTGACACCTCGCCGTGCCTCCTTACACCTCGCCGTGCCTCCTTACACCTCGCCGTGCCTCCTTACACTTCGCCGTGCCGCCTTACACCTCGCCGTGCTTGTCTACTGACTTTTCGGCACATGTTCTGTTTAAATTGGCTAAGGGCCACGTCTCTGGTGGATATGTCACAGTAGGCAATTGTTCACCGGGTCACACCACGTTCTTATTTAGCGCTCTGGTGTGTTTAAAAGCGCTCTAATTTAAAGCAACGTCGAACATGAATGATTCTCACTGCATGCCTCGGTGCCGCCTGTGCAGTCTACGCACACTCCACCACCGTGCCCCCCCCCCCGACGGGTCTCGAGATAAGGGGCAGCATTGGGAACGTTCCATCATCTGCACTGCAACCACACGCGTGTGTGTGTGAGATGAAACCATATGCTTGTGTCCTATCCCTTTTGGAACGGTCCATTTGTAAAGGCAGATACAAATGAAATCCAACCCCACGTTACGTGCTTTTATACCACAATAACGTTTCCCCGCGATATATATATATTTTCATTTTATATTGCATGAGAGGCAAGATAATTTTGATGCGGCAGCAGCATTGATCAATAAAAAAAAAGAGAAACTCTCCCAAATACAGCTTAACATTTCACAGAAAATGTCTTTCAAGAAAGACACGTTGGTATTTGGCTGCATTTGGGGTTTGGTTCTAAACAGAGCCACTGCCCGTCAAGGCCAGGGAGCCTACAGGACCGTCATGGCCACCTCTTTGCGGTCCCAGGTGTGTGAGGTGAGGACTTGCAGCATGAATCGTGCCACGTCCCCACGGGACACCTGCGAGCCCTTGGTGCCCAGCCAGCCGGAGTCCTGCACGGGCACGAACATCCCCTCCACCACCTCCATCTCCTTGTCTGGCAGTGGGACAAGGCACAGAGACGCACAAGCGTGCACATTCTCACAAACGCGCAAAGCATACGGTGCCTCACCGCAAAACGGGTTTGATTCTTGACTCGGCGCCTTTTCTGTATGGAGTTTGTCCTCCCCCTATTCTGTATGTATGTTGAACTTCTTTCGCGCCATACGTAGCCAACCGTGTTAATCGGAGGTGCGGCGTAACCAGTGTTGTCCAAACATTCCAACGCCGAAAGATTGCCTGCGAATTACTCAATTGGCACCATTCACGGCCACATCGCCCCCTCACTGCATAACCTTGGCGGGACCCTCCTTAAAAGGTAGTCTTGAGACTCGGCAAGGCTCTCCTGGGCAAACAAGCGTAACGACGATATAGACGCACCACGTACCCGTCGGCGGCTCGTTTTTCAGGCCCGGCGGACGGACGACGGTGTAGTTGATGTCAGAGCACTCGGTGCACAGGAACTGCTCCATGACACGCATGCTGGCGAGGATCGGTCTGATCATGGGCAGCAGAATCCAACGAACAAACCGAGGAGCATGGGCCTGGGAATCGACTGTTGTGCAAAAAAAAAAACAACCCACCGTTATTGTATGTATGAACTTCTTTTGCACCATACATAGCCAACCGTGCTCATCGGAGGCCCAACTCTGATTCACCAAATGTGAACACTTGGAAACGGATACAACATCGTAACCACTGTCCATGGATATTTTATTCATGCATTTCTTAATTTGCAGGGGTTAAACTAACACACCTTTTTCATTGGTTTCATTGCAGTCGTGAGATTTTTGAAAACGTACGTTATTAATGCAATCCTGTACATCTGATTATGTGAATCAGGTCAGGTGACAATGTAATTGAGCTTGATTCGTGATAACCTGGTCATGAGATCAATCCCAGCCCAAAAAAACAACCAAATCCTTTCCTCTGGGATCAATAAAATGAGTACCACTTTGTGGCATGCCAACTGTGGACACCCTTTCAACAGTTGGGCAGTGGACGTAAGAATGTGAAATTAATGTTGCTGGATTAGGGCCAACAAGAAAGTTGAATAAGTTCCTGGAAAATTCCCCTCCCCCTTCAACTCCTTCAGATTTCCGCCATTGTTATTGTGCTAAAGGATGCTGCTGCGTCGCTGTCAGTTTCTTGTGTGTGCACACTTTATTTTTTAAATTTCACTTCAACACAAAACCCCCATCTCCGTTACTCTTCCCGCACTGCGACACTCATGCCCAACGCTTGCCCCCGACACTGATTTGGCAGCCCGACGCTCGCCCCCGACACATGAATCTCCCAACGACTGGACGGCAAGATGCATGCGGGTACATGTGCTTCATGTGTGAGCGTGTTGAATGTGTGTTGCACAACAAAAGCCATACATTAAATAAAAAAAAACATACATGGTAATTAAATCGTTCTCACAGTCGATTCACTCGGCACAGAGTAGCTTCTCTAAAGATGCAGTACTCTCCACCTCTCGCAAGCCTATCTAACAACAATCGTATTGTTTTATATATATATATTATTCTTTCCCTTCAACGTGACTTTACCGAAAGAGCTAAGTATATAATCTTAGCAACGTTAAATCGCGTCTAGCCGAAACGTCACCCACCGCCCCCCCCCCCCCCAACCTATTCCGGAAAACAGACCTCAGCAAGTAAACGTTTATAGGCGAAGCACCGCGCTCTACGAGACCGAGTTCAGCGAGGTTTTCCTGTGCTGCCCCATAGGGAGATGCTTTGATCCTGGTGGGCCCCCTCAGGGGTGTCCGTCAGCCACTCTCCACCACCGTTCTTCATATAAACAGCATGGCACCAACATGCGAGTTTGTTTTGAAGAGTTCCTCAGCACTCACCATCCGTATACCATGCTGTCATGGCTATGAAGCGGCTGACCCCGGCCTGCCTCATGGCATCCACGATGGCTTTAGCTGAGTCGCCGTAAGCTGTGACCTCTTGCGGAGTGAAGCCCAAACACGACATGACCGCGTCGTGACCAACCAACGCATCCTTCAGGCTCTCCGTCGAGAAAACATCTCCCTGGATCACCTGAAATCGCGGCGATAAATCACACAATAAGCGAAACACATCGTATTATAAGACAGAAGGTAACTATCCTTCACGATCTTGATTTGAAGCTTTCGTGACTGCAGGAATCCATACTCTTTGGTTCTTTCGGTAAAATCACGTAGGTAGAAATAAAACAAAATAAATCACGACGTTTCGATAGCAACACAAGCCATCATACAACGTATATAAACTCTTGCTGCTAACAGCTTCTCTTCACAAGGCAGCAGACATCGTGCTGCTCGCAGCAGACATCGCGGCTGTCGCGATTTTCACCCGAAGACGATGGCTTGTGTTGCTATCGAAACGTCGTGATTTATTTCGTTTTATTTCTACCTACGTGACTTACTGAAAGAACCAAAGAGTATCCTTTACGAGTTAGGCAACCCCGCCATGTGCCTCCCTGGGAGGGCCCAAACCTCACCTTGAGATTTTCATGTTGGAGTTGCACTTTGCTAGGAGAGCGCACGATGGCGGTCACGTGGTGGCCCTGCTCCAGGGCCTGGGCCATGAGTCGCTGGCCGGTGAGGCCCGTGGCGCCCAGCAGAGCGATGCGCGCTGCAGAGGCCATAGCAACTGCGGCTTGGAGCTGCGAGGCCACGAAGAGAGTGAGAATGAGACCACGGATACACGAGGGCAAAAGCAGTGGCATATAGTAATACCACGTACTGATGTCTGCTGTATATAACCAAGTGCGTTATATAACGCGTCGTCAAATGTATTGTCACACCATGATGATGTGGATCAACTTTCCAACTTACGGGCAGGGCCAATACACAATTTATGATCAAAGTTGAGTGTTTCACCGAGGGCAAATTAATCTAAATCACCGCTAATATTCGGTAACCGGTTACATCCCAGCAACAGTCCAGCGATTTATTAGGAATGTTACGCGCAATTGATCCATGAAAGCACCGCTAATATTCTTCGATTGTCCTCACACTGGGAAACCTTTGGCAGGACCCTCTTGAAGGAGAGTCGTGAGACTCAGCGATGCTTTCACGGGTAAAATTGCGCGTAACATTTCCTAACAAATCGCTGGACTATTGCTGGGATGTAAATGTGTGTATGCGTAAACAAACACTGCAGCACACCGGCGCACGCCGACTGCAACCCGCGTGCAGCTGGCAGGGCAATCTTAACCCCGCGGGCATGTCGCAATTCGAGCAGGTTAAACAACAACAGCCCTGATGACAATTGAGTTGCGTAACGAGGGCGTTGTTAAACGACAACCGGTGAATCGATCAGGTATCGATGACACGGTTCCGAAAATCAGGGACCGGTAACCGGTTCAGTGGCAAGCAATCGACGCGTAACGTTAAGATGATGATGATGATGATACATCACTGGACAACTTGTTGCGATGTAAACGCGGCAGCGTCTTCCCAAAAGCCACGACCATCATTGTTAAGTCGTTGCAGAGAACGCGAAAGCTCTGTGTCGGAAACGACGGGCAATCAAAACGCCGCGGGGGAATGAGTCTGCAGCGTCTGTGCCGACTCGCTTCCGTCGCAACGCAGATCGCGATAATCGATTAGCGCTAATCGATTAGCGCGGTTGGCTGGGTGCGGTGCGAAAGAAGTTCAACGTAGTACAGTAACAACGCGCAACAATGACAACAGCCACACGCGGCTTGCACCCTTCTGCAGCAGCGAGGGCGCCGGTCGCAACTAAGACCCCCCCCCCGAGCGTGATCCCGGAGCCTGGACTCCGGGACAACGCGGAGTCTGCGGCCCGGGTGCCCAATCGGCGAATCCAGAATCCGGGAATCCACGCCGGGAGTTTGTGCGGCGCGGTGACGGCACGGCGGCCTCTTGGGCGTTCACAACAACAACAAAAACGGCGTCGACTACAGGGCGAGCGCAAGGGACTCGACCTTGCGGGAATCATCGGCACGGCGCGGCCCCCCGGCACGGCGCGGCCTCCGTCTCACCCCGTGTGTGAGAGGGTCTCAGCCCGTGTGTGTGAGGGTCTCACCCCGTGTGTGAGAGAGGGTCTCACCCCGTGTGTGAGAGGGTCTCATCCCGTGTGTGAGAGACTCACCCCGTGTGTGAGAGTGTCTCACCCCGTGTGTGTGAGAGTCTCACCCCGTGTGTGTGAGAGTCTCACCCCGTGTGTGAGAGTCTCACCCCGTGTGTGAGAGAGTCTCACCCCGTGTGTGAGAGAGTCTCACCCCGTGTGTGAGAGTCTCACCTCCTGTGTGAGTGTCTCACCCCGTGTGTGAGAGAGTCTCACCCCGTGTGTGAGGGAGTCTCACCCCGTGTGTGAGAGGCTCACCCCGTGTGTGTGAGAGGCTCACCCCGTGTGTGTGAGAGGCTCACCCCGTGTGTGTGAGGGTCTCACCCCGTGTGTGTGAGGGTCTCACCCCGTGTGTGTGAGAGTCTCACCCCGTGTGTGTGAGAGTCTCACCCCGTGTGTGTGAGAGTCTCACCCCGTGTGTGTGAGTCTCACCCCCGTGTGAGGCTCACCCCGTGTGAGTCTCCCCCCTGTGTGAGGCTCACCTGAGCGTGTGAGAGGCTCACCTGAGCGCGTGAGGAGCCTCACCCCGTGAGGCTCGCCGCGTGTGAAGTGTTTCTCTCCCCTGCGTGAGCGTCTCTCTCCCCTGCGTGAGAGTCTCTCTCACCTCGTGTGTGAAAGTCTCCTCACCCTGAGCGCGTGAGAGCCTCACGCCCCGTGTGTGTGAGTGTGTTAGGGCTTCACCTGTGCGAGTGCTCTGAGATCTCTCGGTTTCTGTCGAGACCCCCCCCCCCACCGGGCGCAGGGCGCACCCCCGTGGCCCAATCGGTGCGCCCGGGGGCGTGGCCTCTGGGCACGCGCGCGCCCCGCCCCCACCGGGCACCCGGGGGCGTGGCCTCTGGGCACGCGTGCCCCGCCCCCTCCCTCTGTTGGCTGCGTTGCCTCACTGCTGACGTTGCCTCAACAAACGTGAGGTACCCCCCCCATTAATAATCATGAGCGGGTGACGTCGCTCCACATGGGCCCCCCCTCATTAATAATCATTAGCGGGTGACGTCACTCCACATGGGCCACACCCCCCCTCATTAATAATCATTAGCGGGTGACGTCACTCCACATGGGCCACCCCCCCCTCATTAATAATCAGCGGGTGACGTCGCTCCACATGGGCCACCCCCCCCTCATTAATAATCATGAGCTGATGACGTCACTCATGTGGCCCCCACTCCCTCAATAATCATGAGCTGATGACGTCACTCATATGGCCCCCACCCCCTCATTAATAATCATGTGCAGATGAATCTCGACTTAAAGCGTTGGTGACTGCAGGAATTCATATTCTTTGGGTCTTTCGGTAAAGTCACGTAGATAGGTTCAAAGAAAATAAAAAACTACGACGTTTCGATCGCAACGCAAGCGATCGTCATCAGGAGGGAAAAAAATCGATCGCTTGTGTTGTGATCGAAATGATTAACTGCAATACACCCGTCCTTGGACGGGCTATAGGCTAGTATATTTATAATAATATTGAGGTTTTTTTTACAGAGCAAGCTTCATTCATGCGGCTGCATCACACGAGGCTGCACAAATACACATGAAGGCGCATCGATGAAGATGTGTCGTTAAACCCGCCACCACCCGACACAGCCAATTAGTAAGGGTTGTCACTTAAACAGAACGTGCTAATTCGTTACTAGTACAGCACACCGTTGTGTTGGAGAGAAAATCCACAACATTTACAATCCGAGCACGACGTTTCGTTAGTAATTGCAACTAGCATCATCAGGTGACAGCCAGATATATTTACGCGATCTAACCCAAAAAAAAACCTATATTATGGATGATATTGGCCGCGAAAGCCCTACGTGTTAAACTGATGAAGATGTTTTCATCCAATTAACGAGGAGTGTTTATACACCTGGGGGATCCCAGAACAAAGGGGAAACACTGTCCCATACAGAAGGGATAGATGGAGATTAGTCCACACTTTGTTGTACCGCGTTCTATTTGTCAGCCAGGGTTTGGCACCTCGACGGCCACCTGCGAGAATGGAGTTGGAACAGATTAAGAGAAGTCCACACTTGCTGTACCACCTCCTGGCGAACCAGGGTGTGGCACTCCCTTGACACCCACCTACAATCGAGTTGGAACAGATGGAGATTAAATTTCGATTTAAAGCTTTCGTGACTGCAGGGATTCATATTCTTGGTTCTTTCGGTAAATTCACGTAGAAGGGAAATAATAACATAATAAAAAATAAAAATATCACGACGTTTCGATTGCAACACAAGCAATCATCATCATCACCTGACGATGATTGCTTGTATTTTTATTATTTTATTATTTCCCTTCTACGTGACTTTACCGAAAGAACCAAGAAGATGGAGATTAGTCGACACTTGATGTGGCGCCATCTTCTGGCGAGCCGGAGTACAGCACCTCGACGCCACCCATGGGAAGGGACTTTCACAAACATTTGCCAACAAACCTTGCAGCTGCCTCCACTGTGCCGGATCACAGGCCCGGAGGTCGTGGCACGCACGAATATTCCTCAACCCACAATGCTCCTCTCAGCTGTGCACAATGAGCGTGTGCTTTGTACAGTATTTTGAAAGAAAATCCCGAGTCTTGCTGAAAGACTGAAACTCCTCTTATCGGTGAACCTATTGCTTGTGACGTGTGCTTTCCGTGGCCCAGAACGATCCGTGACACTTATCCGTGGAGAGGCTCTTCCTCTTAACGGTTTCTGTCATTGGGAACGGAGTCGCCCCAGGCCACCGTGGGCACAACACTCATCCTACCAGACAGTCTCGTCCCTTCACCTGATTAAGGCCGCTTGTGTTGTGGCCGAAACGTCGTGAGAATATTATTGTGTTATTTTATTTTATCAATTTATTATTTTATTCTCATTCTACGTGACTTTACCGAAAGAACCAAAGAAGACTCATCCTATTATCCACAAATTCACGGATAAAATGAATCATTTTGCAAATCAATCCACGGATAGATTAGTGGATACGGCGAACCATTCTTGCGGACAATGGGATGACAACTCTTCCCACCTGCATGTTTCCTAATCGACCAACACCATTCCCCCACTCAACGCCAACGCTGCACTGAGGCCGATGGATTATGTGCTGTGAGAGGCGTAGTGGGAAGCTATGCCTGGTGTTCAGTTTGCATATTCATGCAAATATACTAACACGCTGGCTTTCGTCAGGGTTGCGTTCCTGAAATGTGCGACGACGAATATTGAAACGACGTAAATCAAAGCAATTTATTTATTTATGGACGCGACGGTTCAGGCGACGGATAACGAGAAAGGACGGGTGATGCCGTCAGCGACGTAAGTGTGGGTTGAGGCGACGCATATCAGGTAGTGGTGTTAATAATAAAGTGGCGACGTGTTTGCGAATCAACGTAAAAGGGGGAGACGTAAATCGGGGTATTACTGTATTATTGAAATTTTAAAAAAATCAGTAATCTCCAAAATATTCCATTTGTGTTTAGACAATTAAACGTCCCACCACACCAATCAGCAGCGCGTCATTATGCGTCGTATGTTGTCGGGGAATACCCCATCCAGGTGCTTTCAGTCAACAACTGAAGTCAATTCACTCCACCTCTCGTGACACCATTGTGCACGTGGTGCACCAGATAATAACGTTTTTTTTGCATACGCTGCCAAATAAATTAACTTATCATTCACAATGATTGGCACGGTGTCAATCACCAAAAAAGTGGACCATATTATAAATATGGACCATATCGTTAACCACTGTAGGCCTGCACTCCTTCAATGGAGGACGAATAGCAAAAACACAAACTCTTTATTGAAGCCTTCCTGTAGCCACCAGACCGCGACGTTGGTATTGTCAGTACCAGACACAAGAATAGAATCAACCCAAAGTATAGTTCTTTTGTTTAGTAGTGGCACCATTGTGGTCAATGAAGAGAAGGCAGAGAACGGAGCATTTGATAGTCCATTAAAAAGAGTTTACAATAGTGGCGTTTATGATAGTGATGAAAAGTAAAATTATCCACACCAAAGGGATGATTTTATGCAATGGTAAATGTTCAACATCAGTTAAAATGTGAAG